TTGGTTGAACGGCAAACTAGATGACCAGACACTTAGCATATTAGACTTTTATTATCTAGGATTAAAGGGGAAGATATAAGTGTTAAGACTATAGTGCAATAAGATCCTTAACGGCCATTTGTAAGCTTCCTGCCACAGGAGAACAAAGATCAGGAAAAACTTTCTGGACACCAGGAGTCAGGCCATATAAGCAATGGAAACTGTCCTAAAGACACTGGACTGCACACCTGCAGTCCATCTGCATTCGAAGCCCACCAGCTCCACCCCCAGACCCACTGCGGACAAGAGCTTCCCGCTAGTAACTGCATGTAAGGATAGAACTCCAGCTCCTAGGGGCTGCCATCATCACCCCATGTGCCCTTGGCTGTACAGCCCTTCCCTATGGGTATCCCATCCCCCAGCCCCTTTCCTTAAATAAATTCCATTTTTCTTCACCTACCGTCTGAGATGGCTACTGAAAGGGTGAGGGCTACGCCCTCCATCTTGCCCCAAATCCTCCATTTTGGGAAGCAGCCATGTGCTCAGCAAGGAGCTTTTTCCTGCAAGCCCAAACCTCTGCTAGCCACACCTAGGATTTCTTTAAACTAACCAATGATAACCAAGGGAAGTGCGCGCCATAGATACAACCACATCCTGTGTAACAAGACACCGACTTGCGCCTGGCCAATCGGTAGGGCCCACAGTCCTCTCTCCTCCCCTTACTATAAAACCCCTTTCCCCACAGAGGTGGCTCTCTCTCTGCCGCTTGCCGCTGCATTAGTGGTGTGGGGGGAGCTCAAGCTAGCTTGAATAAAGATTCTTATGCTTTTGCATCGGACACGGCTGGCTCCTTGGTGTGGTTTCTTGGGGATCCTGAAATCTGGGCATAACATTTGGGGGCTCATCCGGGATCCCCAAGACCCTCGAGGGACCCCCAATCCGGAGAGTCTGACTGGCCACGGTAGGTGTCTGTGTGTTGTGTATTCTGTTCTGTGTGTTATATGTTCTGTCCTGTGTTGTGTGTTCTGTCCTGTGTGAGCTCACTTCTGAAATTCTGTAGTGCCCGAAGCGGTCTAGGTGGACGCACTGCTGAAGGACCACGGGCTGGGGGAGTCGGAAGATGTTCCCCTCCCCCTCTGGAGGGATGTGGAATCCCCTCACTTCACGAGGGATGTGGCTTCCCCTCGAGGATCTGAGACGAGGCGGGTCACTCCCGCCGGTTGGCATACAGCCATCGTCTAGTTTTCGGTTTTGCTTCCATGGAGTTGGAAGACTGCACTTTGGGGCCCTTTAGCTGTCTGTTTGTGTTTTTTCTGTTTTATTCTGTGGACTTACTGGACGGACATTATGGGACAGACTCAAACTACTCCTCTAAGTATTATGATTGATCATTTCAAAGAGATTAGAGGAGGCTATAGAGCTCCCTCAGGAATTGGGAAATTGTTAGAAATTGGATGGATTGTTTAAACTCTGAATGAATGTCTGGTGAAAGTGTGTGAGTGTGGAGGGAGGGGGCCTGCCCTCTCCTCTCCTTTGTGTGGCTCCACGAATTAGGTCAGGCGGGCATCTGAGTGAAGATCTGTGAAAACAGGTCACCCCCTCCCTTGTCTGTCTCTCGTCACCAGTCATCATGGGGTCAGGACAAAGTTTGTTTGTAAAAAACTTATGTCTAGGCATTTTGAAGTTAAATAATGCTGAAATATTGCTAGAGGACAGAATTGAATCTGTTGGTTGATTATGTCTTGCATTTTTGAAGTTTATTCTTAAAAATGTTACTGATTGAGAAATGCTGAATATTTGACTTACCAGCTAAAAGTTTAAGGTTCGGATTGAATTGGGAAAAATTGTGTAATTGTGGTAACTAAATGCCTTTGCTTATTGGTCTGATTGAGAAGGGAGGATTGATTTTGTGACCTCAACTGAAGATTTTTGATGCAAGGACCAGTTTAAATTTAATTGATATTCTTTAAGATAATTATAAAAGGTATAAACAGCTAATGAGATTTCAGTTTGTCTGCAATATAATGTTGGCCATCTATCTTCTAGGGATCTTGGTTTGCAAAAAACAGTGTAGACAGCCACCATTTTGGGCTGCATGACTTGGCAGCCGCCATGTCAGCCACATGGATTGCCGCTCCCCTGGGGGCTGCAATCTTGAAACAGCAAAGGCCCCTCCCTCTGATTTAGCCAAAGGAATGTCAGCTCACTGAGGCAGGATGGAATTTCAGGGGTGGAGCTTTAAGGCGGAGTTTTACTACAGAAATGTGGATGGGGCAGGAAGTGTGCTTGCCTCGAGGATTTATTAATCTAGAAAACCCTGCTTTCCTTAAACTAAGGACAATTAAAGGTTATATGTTCCCTCCCTAAACAAAAGTTAAATAGCTTATGTCAAAGTCTTTAAAAGGGACTGATAGCAGTAATCCAATTTCTAAAGTGAAGTATGGTGATGATTATTTCAGGTAGACACTGTGGTTTCATACTGATCTTAGAGGGCACATTTTTCCTTTGCCTGGGAGGGACAGCGCAGCTGTCCCAGGGTCGGAGGGCTCCAGTTAACTTGTCAACTCAATGTTCTGGAGACCCAGGACTGTAATTTAGATAACATGCCTAAGTTTAACCTAGGTTACCCAAGGACTCTAGATAATGTGTTTACCCAAAATGGTAATTTGGATTGCATGCTGTCTCTGCTTCTGTAAATTGCTTTTTTTGCTGTCTTTATTGCTTAAATATGTATCTTTGTTGTTTAAAATTGTTTAGCTAGTGGAATTTCTGTTTGTGTCTCTTAAAAATATGAATGTATTGCTAATCTGAGGAATGTTGATTATTTCTATTTGTTTAAACATTTCTGTCTGTTTCTGTACTAGGGACTTTGATTTGCTCTGTGATATTTCTGTGTTAGTTGAAATTTTGGAATTCTGGGGTAGATTTAAAGGTATTTGTGGCTTTTCTTGTCTGTTTGGGGCTCACAGTCCTCAGGGCAGAGATTTTACGGGCCCCTGCCTGTGCTGAATTAAATAGTACAGGCCAGTAATCCAGAGAGAGTGAATAATTTACATTCTGCCTCCCTAAACAGAGGGTAAATAGTTATGCCAAAGTACTTAGGGGGGACTGATAAAAGAAATCCAACAGTTACTGTTTTGTTATAACTCTGAAGAGTCCATGAAAAGGACTCGCAAGGAAAATCAGAAGATCTTAAGGCAGGTCAGTATGTTTTTCTCCTTATGTAATTCCTCCGAAATTTGGCAGTGCTAAATAAGTCATGGCAATACATTTCTTTGCATAAATTCAATAAGACCGGTTTCCAATAGTGGTTTTATTAATGAAAAACTTTGACTGGAGTATCGTGTTTTAAAGAAACCTGTCTGAGCTCTGAAGACTTGAAGCCAATAAGAGTGCCACAGGAAAATCCTGGTATCCTGCTTGGGAGCCCTGAAGATGGCTGGCGCTGGAGCGTCAGGCCCATGCCCTGCCATCACTGGCGGTTGGTCAGAGTAGAAGGGGAGCACTGGCCTGTTACGAATTCTAGGAAGGGCCCAGTATCTACGTCACCATCTGCCTGGCAGAGGCATGCATCAGCTCCTAGACCCCCTTTCGACCTAACAGTAGTCACCCAGAAAAGTTTGACTCCAAGGCCTCTTCTTGCTGTCTCATTAGTAGAATGACTTACTCCCTTATGAAGCAGTGCCCGAAGAATGGTCTTGCGATGACTTGAGCCTTACTCTGGAAAGACCAGACTTCTCACACGTATAAGTACAGCTGTTTCCTTCCTCCATTTATATATCTAAGCCGGGACTGAGAATGAGAGTGTGCGGGGAGCTAAGGCTGAAGGCTCAGCGTAAAGGCTTCGAGTGTCACATGATGACTAAGTTCAAGACATTAATATTCTTCCTCAAGGAGGGTTAGGTTTTGAAAAACCCAATATGACAACTCAGAGTTGAAAAGAGTCTGCAAAACACTTCCATATTTCTAGTCCAACTCCAACCCCCACCATGTACAGAGATTTAAAATCTTTACAAGTTTTTTTTAAGGGAAAGTTCTGATTTAGATCCAGTGTTTCTGGTTGAAGGATACAAGCGAATATATTTCCATGTTTGCGATCTGGAGTGTGGTCTGTTAGAGCTATGTGTGCTGTGAAGACCACCATCCAAAGGTCATGAGTGATACACAGCGGAAGCCTCATGTCAGAGTGGTGATGGCCTGGGGTCAGAGTGGAAAAGTAGCTCTCCCGGCTCAGCGAAGCAGCTGGTGTTCAGCTGGAGAGTCTTAAAGAGACTAGGACTGTTGTAATTGCACCTCAGGAAGCTGGAACCTTATAGGATTCCTTACCTTCCTCCAAAGGGCTCTTCTGCTCTTTAATTGGATTTGGAGTACATGGGAGAATTTGGCTAAATCTCTAAGTTCTCAGAGAAAGTTGTCTGTCTACTTATTTGAAAGAGTAATCTGAGTAAGAAAATATTTCCTAAGTAGAACACCTGGTTTCCTTCCCTTACAGAGAAGGGAAATTATGCCAAGGGTTGGGGGTGGCTTCCTTTGCCCCTCCCCCACATCTTGTATATTAAAGGAGCAGAAGGCATTGGAGTCACCTAAATGCACCCCCAGAGGGAGCTGTTCCTAAGCCCCACTGTTGATTAAATTCTCTGCCAGTGTTGGGGATGGGAGTCAGAAAAAACTAAGTGACAAGAAGCAATGGAGTCATCAATTTCCTTATTCATGTCCACACAGACCAAAACTGCTCAGAGGATTATGGAAAGGTACAGCACCCACTCTAAAGAACAGTCCTTGGACTTCATCTATAATAATAAAAGCGTAATATGCTAATTAGACTGGATGTCCTTCTGGATGACCTTCCAGATAAAGCCGGGGCTACGAGGGAAGCCAGTGCCGGCAGCCAGGGGAAGGAAAACCTACTCTTGCATGTATTTTGTGCATCGGGTCTCTAGTCTAATATAACGGGTCTCTAGTCTAATATAATAAGAAGACAAAGCAAGAGGCTCACTGCCACCACTTTATTAAAAATCCAATCACTGATTTAACATCCTGGTTCTTTTCTTGCGCAGGTAAAAGACGAGGCCTGGAGCTGCTACCACACCTGCGGAGACAACTACAACCACCATGGTTTTGAAAGCAACATATCCAGCAGTTCCGTGCCCTTCAGCATCTACTGTGTCTGGAAGAGAAGCAGACGTCTGAGTCTTAAGCTCATGTTTAAATCATAAGAGTAAGTTGAAGCTGAAGCTTTACATATGAGGGCTCCCCAGAGAAGGAGTGAAATGAACCCTCAAAGTACTCCTCTGGGAAGCTGGCAACAGGGTACAGCTTTAACCCTTGCACCAGTGCCTCCTCTCCACACTCAATGTCACTCCCACTTGCTTTTACTGACCTAAACTCAGATGGCTGAAAAGGACCTTACAGTCCCAGCCTGTTGTCTAAGACAACGTCCTGGACCAACAGCTCTCCCAGGGTATTAGTTAGGGATTGAAGACAGCTTAATTTCAAATTCTAGGCCTAAAATTAAGACCACCTGGGATGAGGCTATAAGATATTAATAGCTTGGGTTTGGCAGTATCAAGGTACATGCCTTCTGACCCATTAATCCGATTTCCAGAAACATATCCTGGTGTTTTTATATAGCAGGCAAAGAATTAAGAGGCTTCTGATGTGGCATGAGTGACAAAACTGGAGGTAACCTAGATGGAAATCTAGTTAGCTATTAACAGTGAGGTAGGTCTCTGTACAGATATAAGATACAGTTTTTAAAAGCAGCTATAGAACTGCAGGGAGACTATATGACCCCTGTGTTACAGGGGACTTGGGAAAGCAGAAGCTATCCCTGGGAAGAGACTGTCGCTCTCCTCTTGTTCAGAGGTGAGCATGCATATGTTCGCATAATGAAATGTCACACACAGCCTCGCACTAGCAGCCAGGAAGGGCCCTCGGCTCCAGGTCCATACCTCTGCCCGAGGAGTCATCTGACAACAGGAGGATGGGTCCCGGCAGACTTATTGTTTTCTCTTCTTCAGTGGCCCCTGTGGCTGGAGACAGGTAATGGAGTTTGAGCTCTGAACTAGTGCGCACGAGTGCCAAGCGGTGTGTCCATAGGCCTCCCAGAGCAGCTGGGCAGTGTGCGGCCTTGGCAGGACCGGGCATGCACCTTCCTAAGGACAGAGTGGCTCCTGAAGAATTTTACGTCTGAATCCACCGAGACTCAAGAAGAATAACCTTCCAGAGTCATGTCTGTAAAAGATCAGACTTGTCCACAGGGCTGCTCAAGAGCTTGCCCATGTCAGACTCAAACGGGAAGGCCAACTGGGCCACGGTTGCCTGGACTCTGAGTAGGTAAAGAATGAGGCCTCATCCTTACATTTTGAAATGATAAGGCTTGTTTTGAGTAAATTCACAGTAATGAGGACTTGAAATTTTACCTCGCCTGCTTCTCGGTGACGCAGGGCAAGTCCTGGAACACAGAGCGGAGTGGGGAGAGCGCTGATCGCAGAGGAAGGCGCTGCAGTGGAAGTGGACCTGGGACGGCAGGAGGGCGAGGTGAGTCCAGGCACCCACAGCCCCGCCCGTGGCTGTTAATTACTCACCAGGCTGGCGAGCACTTGGGCAGCTGACACAAAGGCAAAGGTCTTCACATCGAACCTCCGGTAGTGGGCAGGGTAGGTCACAGAGGAGCCAACGGGATGGAAGGTGGTTCTGTGCTTGTCCAGGTTGTATGCACAGCTAGGAGGCATGTGCCAGGGAGGACGTCAGCCATTCACCCGGGCAACTCAACTTTTGCCCAGATTAAGTCACACGCGGCACCGTGGGGACCACTGCTGTACGTGTTACTGCACCTGGTTCTGATTTGGCCTCGCAACAGTACCCATGCCATCCTAAGTAGCATGTGCTGGTTTTCCTGCTATCAAAATTGTATCGATACAATTTAAGTACCTATTTGTTTGCCAGCAAACACAAGAGCTACAAGATTGATATGTGTGTCTTCAGACAACACTGGCTGGATTCTTCTATTTATGTCCCAGGCAGTTAGTATATGTCAGTGACAAAAAAGGTAGAGAAGTCTTAGATGCTAGCAGAGAGTGAGAGCTATAAAAAAAGTAGTGTGTGTGCTGGGGGGGGGGGGGGGCGGGGGGGGCTCAGTTGGTTGGAACATTGTCCCCTACACCAAAAGGCTGTGGGCTGGATTCCCAGTCAGGGCACATACCCGGGTTGTGGGTTCAGTCCCCAGTCGGATTGTGTACCAGAGGCAGCCTACTGATGTTTCTCTCTCACATTAATGTTTCTCTCTGTCCCATATTCTCAAGTGAGGTTTAAAAACACCACCACAGTGTGCTGGCGGTAAGTGCTAAGGAAAGAAGAGTCCGCAGGGTCGGGGAGCAGGGGCTCAGCCTGACTCCCTGGAGAAGGAACCCTGGACAGGCTTATGGGTGGAGGAGCGCTGCGCAGCACAGCTCCCATGGCCACAGGAGCCTAGCCACAGAGGGCACAGCTGGAGAAAAAAGAGGTGCGGACCCACAGGCGGAGCCCGCGCCAGGGGAGTTCAGGCCTAGAGGAGAAGGCGCCCACTCGCAATATCTCGCCAGTAGACTCTGGGCTCGTTAAAGAAAGCAGAGCCGCTGCCTGTGAAGTCCCTCGTGGAGTGACGAAGGTCAACAGGCGCTCAGGGGTAGGGACCGGAAGGCAGCTTCTCCGCAGGTGAGGAGCCCGGCCTCTGGGGAAGCCCTCTCTTCTAAGACCCAGGGGGACGGGCAGTGTGGCTAACTGAGCCCGGACTGACCCTGAGAAGCCAGAAATGGAAGTCGGGGCTTTGCACGTGGGCCCCCGGGCTCGTCGGGCTCCGTGGGAGGGGACCTACCCGTCCTTGACCACCGTCCAGCGGGGCAGAGCGGCGGGGTCGGCGGCGGGCGTGGCCCAGCAGTCGCCCAGGACCAGCTTGACGTGGGGGTCGGTCCTGTTGACCACGCTCACCTCCAGGTAGATGGGCTGGCGCAGGTGTCGCGGCACCGGGTAGTCCCCGTCCGCGAACGGGCGCAGGTAGGACTGGTCTGGAAGCGCAGCAGCCTCTCAGGCCCAGGGCGCCCGGGCTGCGCGGGCAGATGCGGGGGGGAGGGGAGGGGTGGGTCCGGGGTGCAATGGCTCACCTGGGTAGGCCCGTAGGAGAAAGGCCAGCGGGCCGGGCCGCGCCAAGCCCCCCGCAGCGGGCAGGCCCTGGACGCTGGTGTTGGCCAGCACGGCCCCTGCGCGGTAGTGGCACCTCACTGTCACTCTGAGGGTGTGGGGGGCGCGGGGAGTGTTAGGTTAACAGAGCTGCTCAGAGTTGCGCTGGAGCAGAAACAACCAAGTGGCAGTTGTCCCACCTGAACTCCCTGTCTCTGGACACAGCGCGTGGAGGAAGCCCGGCCGGGAGAGCGCGGATCTCATTCTCATAGATGACCTCGCCGTCCTGGACCTTAGGGTGAGAGAAGGTTGGAGAGTGCGCACCAGCTCGCTCAGCTCAGCCTAGGCCTGCGCTGTCCGCTCACTGACCCGGTGTGTTGTCCCACATCCGTTCAGGGGGATGCGAAACTGCGCCAGCCCCCGGGGCGCCGCTGCGAGGAGGGGCCGGCAGGAGGAGTCCCCCACTCTGAGGGTGGCCAGGCTGAGAGCTGGGCTCATGTGGTGGCCGTGGACTTGGACATCCATGAACCCGTCCTGGGTGCACAGCTCGCCTGTAATGAGAGTGGCCGTGAGATGCTGGGAGCCTGTAAGCGGTCTGTCTGCCAGGCAATGCCGCCCTCCCTGCGCCTGGAGTGTGAGGGAGGAGTCCCCTGGGTTTCACCAGGCGGCACCCCATGTGTCTTAAGTCTTTGGGGAAAATACTTAGGGAGACAGATAGCAGAAATCCAGTTAGTGCCATTCGCCAACCACACCCAAGGGCAGATGAAGTTAAGAGAAAAAAGTCTCATTTTGGTACCTCAACAAAGCTGTTAAATGTGCTATGAGATCCTCCTCTAAATGCCCCGCCTCCGAAAGCCCTCAGAAGGACGGTCTGGGCCTGCCCTCTCCCTCCCAGGAGCACACGCCCGCGCCTTCCCCTCCTCCCCTCTCCCTCTTCCCGCACAAGCTGCATCTCCCAAACGCTAGGGGACCCCAGGAGACTTGCAACCAGGGCAGCTGCACTTCATCTGGGCACCCCCCCACACACACAAGGCCCCCCCCCTCTGACCTCTTAGTGAGCCAGAGCAGCCCAGCCCAGCCTCACATCCCCACCGTGTCCCTCTCCTTCAACCTTAGGCCCTCCCTTGTTTTACTGGCCCAGCTTTAGTAAATGTCCTCTAAGATTTAAAATAAAAATACCTTGATAAGTGGCTTGAGTTACAAGGGGAGACCCTAAGGTCCCGGGCAATGGTGGAGCTGCTTTGTCTGAACAGAGAGAGTTTATCCAAAGGAAGAGGGAGCAGGAGACACGGAAGGAAGTGCCATGTGGGGTGAGACATCTACAGAAAACCCCGAGGAGGGCTGACGTGACTTAAGAGTCCAGTTATTTGTGACTTAAAGTGCAGTGCCTGGTCTCCTATGTCCCTCCTGTCAGGACTCACACACCCAGGGTGGCTGGGAAGGCACGCATCGTCCCTCTCTGGCTTGGCCTGACTAGGTGGGGGGTGGGTAACAGCAGCCCAGGGCCCAGGCGATGCTGCATGGGAGGAAAGCCAGCCCAGATTCTTTTTGAGAAATTGGCAGGAGTTCGGGGAAAGTCTTTAAACTTTTCTAATCTCTTTAGTTACAGGTTGGGCCACAGGCTCAGGCTCCTGATGTGAAGCATCCTCCTGGGCCTACCTGAGTGCACGTGTGGAAATGCTCCCTCTCGCAGCCCCACCCTAGCAGCTGGTCTGGCGCCTCTGGTCTGACAGCCTTTCCTTTCCTGGACGTGTAAGCAGTGCAGAGTGTAAACCATGCCCGTTCTTCCCGCAGGAACAGGAAGGGCTAAGGGGGAACAGAGAACGTGGAGACCATTGCTCAAAGGTCTTTACCTGTTAGAACTGGGGACTCACAGAGACACTCGGGGTAAACCACCATGGATACTATCTCCCGTCGGAAGGAAAAAGTCAGCTTGAGTGAAGGCAAGTAGAACTGATAGGGCAGGCACCGTTCCGAGAACTGAAACTCGAGAAGAATGTCAATCAGCATCAGAGCCCCCCGTGTGGGCCCGGAGACCGTCCCATGGTTCCGGACCAGTGTGTGTGTGTGTGTGTGTGTGTGTGTGTGGCGGGGGGGGGGGGGGTGGAATGCAGGAATTCCTGCAGCACGCACCCCAGACTTAATTTGGTTTCCCTTTAAGCCAGGACGAGAGACCCTGTCACTTCTGTGTCAGGATGCTTCCCTCCACAGGACGTTCATTGCTTTAAACTCATGCCCTCAAGTGCCCAGCACTGTGTGCTCTTTGTACAAGACACTGACGCCGAGTTACCAGGTCAAATGCCAAAGGAGAACCCAGTGCCCTGCCAGCAGCCTGCAGAGAGGGCTCTGCCCGCGTGCCTGTGTCCCTGGCCGTGGATCAGTCAGGACGGCAGTTTGGGACCCTCTGTTTGGCTCAAGCCGTCCTGGGTTAAGAGGGCCTAAGACACTCATCATTAGAAACTGGGAAGCAGTTTGTACTGTTCAATGTGCTGAGAAACACTGAGGTAAGCTTCTATTGTGGAGGTTCAAAAGGCTTGATGTTTGCAAGTGAACTTCAGTTACTGGGGAATTCACTTATGCAAAGCAACCAAATGAGGCCTCCCAGAGTTTGGACTGCCACACTGGCCATTGTAACGTACGGGCAAGTCATCAGCCATGCCAGGGTTACCTGTGAGACCATGTTTCAGGTCAGGTTCCCACACTCAGTGGTTGACAAGGCAACATACCTTCATTTTGAGAAGAGCTTTGCTGAAGTGCAGTCTCAGGCCACCTGCTGCCTCTGTACCAATGCCGTTCCGATGCAGCTGGCTCATGGCAATGTCTCTGTTTCCAAAGCTCACGGACTTTAACTTCCCAGGAAACTCTGGGATGGTGAGAGTCATGTGCGTGGCATTGCAGGTCACAGGACCTGGAGGGCATGACCGGCAGGTGTCGATGTCAGCTTTGATGAAGCCCCAGAACAATGTCTTCCACCCTGGAGTTGGCCCCCTGGACCTTACCTGATAGACAAGTCACTTGTGCTGATATAATGGTCTTTTGTCCAAAAATTACATGGATGAGCTTCAGAGGCACCGTGTAGAGATGACTGTTACCTTGCTGGGGGTCGGGGACAACATTATCAGAGACTTTGCTTTAATTCAATTTCTAAACAACGCTAGAAGAAAAGTCAAGGCAAGCATGTACTCAAGTACTGGGCACTATCTTGGCCTAACTAGAATTCAGGCATTTTGTACAATGATTGTTCTGCCAGGTTCTCTAGTTTTAAATGTTTGTGCTTTTAATATCTGGCAAGCTAGGGTTGTCTACTGAGATGGCCTGTAGCCGATCATTTCTGGGTCTGAGCAAAAGCTGCTCTTATTTTATGACTATTTTATGGTATCATCATCCAGAGAGAATGCTTACAAGACTGAGCAACCTGATGGTACAGGACTGTTCCTGCTAAAATGTGGTGTTTGAGCCCTTTGACACATTAGCTCATTTGACACTGAGTCTTTCCTGTTGGCTCGAAGAGCACGGGTCCCTACTGCAAGACAGTACAGGAGAACGATAACACTAACAGAACCTAACGCTTGGGAAACGTTAGTGGCCTCCCGCTCTGTATTTGATAGCAGATTGAGATCTCTGGGGACGAGGGAGAGCGGGTGGAAGTAAGGGCCATCTCTGTTCACCACTGTGTCTTTAGCACGCAGCGCAGCGCGTGGCCCACAGTAAGACTGCGATGCCTGTTGAGTGAGTTGTGTTCTCAATTACTTTGAAGACATGGTTGAGGTCATGCTTGGATTTAAAAATAGTGGTCTGTGCCTGGGTGGGGCACAAAAAGACTCAGACCCACCGCGTAGCGATTCACTCCGGTGGCATTGAATGGCACTTGCACGGTCATCTTGTAGTCGTCAATCAGGATGTTATATCCTTGCACCATGGCCTCCAGAAGGGTCAGAGTTTGGGCTCCTGCACCATGACCAACCTCAATGCTCCATCCCATCTGCTGCTGGAGATCCTAAAGTCAACAGTGTCACTTAGAGGGCTGTACTGCCCTTACCTCCAAGGCTGTTGTCTAACATTTTCATAAGGATTGAAGTTTGTTACCTTTAATATAGAAAAAAGGCTACTTATGTCTGTATATTAAAATGATTTTCATACCGTATTTTCATCAGCCATGCCAGGAACACCATAAAAGGGAAACTGGAAGGGAAAAAAACATGTGATGTGAGGCTGTGACTTGGAGGAGAGTTTCTGAATCAGGCTGCTGACAGTAGGCAGAAGGCCCCGGAACAGCTGTGTGTGCTTCCCACACCGAGGCCTGGGTGTGGGGTGGGGGGGACAAACGCAGGACCAGACATAAACCCAACTGTGCCCTTAGACATCATCTCGCCTCTAGAGCTCCTGGTACCAGACGGCAATGGGAAGATCTAAGCTCCCTTCCAGTTGTAAGTTCAGACACTCAGTTCTTCAATGCACAGCTGTACTAAGTCTGTAGGAATCCAGTATTATGTCCAGCCATGCAGTTCCATTATTGTTATAATAAAGTACCGATATTTCTTTTATCTTTCTGTTGTCGAAATTAGCTACGTTAGACTATGAAATCCATGAGTGTGTGATAGGGCTGTTTTGCTCATTTACTGGATCCTATCACCTGGCACAGCGCCTGGCACCTGATAGGTATTCAGCTTGTCAAGAAAGTATAAATGTGCTTGTAGCTTCCTGTGGCCAGGCGTGGTGTGCTAAGCCCGTGTGTGTCCTCTCAGTGCATTTTTAGAGACACCCTATAAGGCAGTGGTTCTCAACCTGTGGGTCGCAACCCCTTTGGGGGTCGAATGACCCTTTCACAGGGCTCGCCTAAATACATCCTGCATATCAGATATTTACATTATTATTCATAACAGTAGCAAAATTACAGTTATGAAGTAGCAAAGAAAATAATTTTATGGTTGGGGGTCACCACAACATGAGGAACTGTATTAAAGGGTCGCGGCATTAGGAAGGTTGAGAACCACTGCAAGGGAAGTGTTATTTTCTCCCACTTTGGGGCTTGGAAACAAAAAGTTGGTTTGTTTAAAATATCAACTCAAAGCCACAGAGCTAATAAGTAGTGAATACAGGATCGCAATTCTGACCCTGTTCCTAAGCCCGACTCTGTCTAGACATCACACTCCTCTGTGTGGGTTGTGGGAGAAGCTGTCGGCCTCTCTACTCACAGACATGAAATCCTTCGTGCACAGGGTAGATCCTGGGTGCTCCTGGGCTCCTCCTGCCGGCACAGCTGGACAGCTGACCTGATACATGAAAGCCTTGCGTCCCATAGCAGCACTGTTGTCCATGAACCTGATGGTCATCTGGTGCTGACCAAGCTGTGTGCAAATGGTCTTGTAAGAACAGGAGGTGCTGGGACCTCCGTGGGAAAGGAGATTCCAGATGCCGTCTGACCCATGGAGTGGTCACCAGGACGGCAGGTTCTGGAAGGTCCCTCATCCAGACATCAGAAGACTATAGCCAGCCCGTGAGAAAGCCCAGCAGAATGCATACATTGGCAGAGAACAGTTCCTGGAACTTCAGGGATTGAAGTTCAGTTTTCATTTTCTTCTTATCCTTACCCTGTGTCAGTCTACCGTAAGCCACAGTCCTGGCTGGTTTGGGGCCTCTACCAAGTCATTCAAATACTCATTAAGCATCAGTGTAGCAGCCAGGGTGTGGGGAGAGCCATCTTTGAGTATTTCCCTGCCTTAAGGAACTTGGTTGAAAGTAGGAGTCAGACAACCTTTTTCTGTTAAATGTTAGTATATACTTTACACTTTGTAGGCCATATGTAACTTCTAATATGTACTTTTTAAAAACATAAAAGCCATTCTTAGCTTGTGGACCATCTCTCTCTCTCTCTCTCTCTCTCTCTCTCTCTCTCACTCACACACACACACACACACTCACACACACACACACACACACATGCCATGGGCTGGACTTGGCACCCACAGGTGTGGTTTGCAGACCCCTGATCTACAGGAATGCAGCTGTTTGCAGACCCCTGGTCTACAGGAATGCAGCTGTAAGCTTCCTAAGGTTGGGAGGTGAACATTTTAATTGCTGGCTCTTCACTGTGGGGTCAGATGAAGTGGCCTGTTAGATATGCAGGTTTCTAGGAGGCACCCAGGTCTACATCATCAACTAAAGGAGGGAAGCCATTACTTTCCAGTCCCCAGGTGATTCTCCTCACGCTCAAGCTTGAGAGCTGCTTAGAGAGGTTGCTTTACTGCCCCCAATAACCTTCACTGCGCAGCACTGGTGCCTGACAACAGAGGAAGCCCTATTGCTCAGCTGCAGCTTGCTTTCCAACGCTTGTTTTGATAGCATAGAGCAGTGGTTCTCAGCCTTGGCTGCACATTAGAATCACCTGGGAAACTTTTTAAAATCCTGAGTTCTGGGCCTCCTCCTCCGGAAATTCTGTTTCACTTGTTACTAATGTTGTGGCCCCACCCCATAATAAAGAAACAGAATTTCCGGAAGGATGAGGCCCAGAAATCAGGATTTTAAAAAGATCCCCAGGTGATTCTAATGTGCAGCCAAGGCTGAGAACCACTGGCCTAGAGGGTCTCTTTGCCACACCATTACTTTAGATCATTACTTTTTAGATACTGTGTGGAGAGAGGACCACAACCCCCATTTTCCAATGGGCAAGCAGAGGCTTAAAAAGGTTAGCTAACCTGCCCAAGGTCACAGCCAGATAGTGGCAGAGCCAGGACTCAAGCCCAAGACCTCAACTCCGGGTTTCTCAACCTCAGCATTATCGGCATTCCAGGCCTGATAATTCTGTGATACGGGGGTGGGGGGGGGCATCCTATTCAATATAGGCTGTTTAGCAGCACCTTTGGCCTGTATCTACTAGACGCCAGTGCCCGCTTCCTCCCCTCCAGTTTTGATAACCAAGAATGTCTGAAAAATGTCTCTAAACATCGTCAAATGTCCTCCATGTAGACAAAAGCAAAAACAAACAAAAATGTCACCCCTGGTTGAGAAACACTGTTCTAGTCCAAAGCCTATACCCTTCGCGAGTAGGTGAGTATTAGTAACTACTAGGTTACTACTTCCCAAATCACTCCTCAAAGCAATTACTTACCACTCTGCTGGTACAGGTCTCATAGGGGGCTCGTAGGGTGCGCTCTTCTGGGTTGAGGACATAAGTGCAATTCAGCATTTCAAGACCAAAGGAATCTACAGAAGCCAGAGAAATTTAGAGAGGGGTGGCCAAGAAGTACTTTCAGTGACAAAAGCAACCAAAGCCTCAGAGCCAAGACTGCCAATCCATTCCTAAGGCTCTTTAATTACTTCACTTTTTATTGTCTGCGTGATGTGGTCTGAGCTTTGAGAGATGCTGTGACCCACAGCTGAAGTTTCCCCGGAGATTCTGAGGTAAGAGAAAGACACGTCTTCCACGCTTGGAGACATCATACAAAGCAAGTGCCCCCATGGCATTATGGGAACTGGATGTGTTGCTCCAGAGTTTATGAAAAATGGGGCTGGCCTCGAGCCCAGGTGTTCTGCTAAGACTAAGCTAGGAATACACACATTACCAACCCATCACAGATGCATGCCATTTCTCAGTGCCAAGATCGCTTGAAAACTCCACTGTCATTCTATCTTCATGGCAAGTGACAGTACCTGAAGAACAAAGAGAGAGTTGGGGCCTCTGAACTATAGGCGCGTGACTCCCACGGAAGTATACTGAGGCCTCCCTCTCCCACAGGCATCAAGGGAGGCGCCAGCTGGGAGAGGCAGCTTGTCCACCGCCCGCAGGGGAGCACACCTTAGCGGGAAGGACATACTTCAGTGTGATACCAGGCACTGCAAGTGCCAGGGCTTGCCGAGCTCCCAGGGGTACACCTGGCTTAGGGTAACACCTGTGCAGAAACCAGGCTGGGCCCTGACAGTGACACTGACGAGGTGGGGAGGAGGGACTGCACGTCTGTGAAGAACTGGAGAACAAAAGTTTTGTCTAAAAGATTCTTCAATTTGAAGCTTTAAAAAAGGCCCTGTGTAAACTCAAGGTTGCTTTCTAAGGTTAAATTCTGCCTATAATCTGCTACTCCGCATCCTCTAGCTCAGGTGAAAGTTTAGAAAAACGCTCATTTCAGGTGGAACAGCTCTGATTCGGCCGCCGTGTTGCTGTTTTCCTGAAGCATGAGTCGGTGTTTGAGGACTGCTGCTCTCAGAGGGCCTTAGGTTGCATCCTGTGTTCTTTGGATGCCATGAAGTGTGAGGCAGCGGGCAGATGTCTTTGCAAGCGCTTTCATTCTACAGGAAGCCATAGGTAGGCCACAGAAAATTCTAGTGACTTGCTCAGGGTAAGAAAGGGGGGATGGAAACTATCCCACCCGTGTTTGTGCTTCCTGGCCATTTGGCCCCGGCTGCACCTGCTCAGGGTGGGAAGGGCATTGCCCCCCAGGCGGTGTACCTGAGAAGGCGGAAGTCCTCAGCTGCGCAACCTCTGTTGAGTGCACCAGAGTCACAAGGGATAACAACAGGGAAAGTGACCTATAGGTGCAGAAGGGGGCGGGAGAGAGAGTTAAGGAATGGACTTTACCAGACAAGGTCATGGTGTCCCCTCCCTCTGCCCCAGGAATCACTCACCTCCCGCCTGGCCTGAGCCAGCCTGAGGGACTCCCACCACCTCCTCTCGGCCAGCACGCCATGGTCCAGGCGCCCACAAACCAGCCAGGCAGGGGGCGGATGCTCGTGCTTTTAGAGCAGGAAGCTGGCTGGGACCCGCCTACTCCCCATTGGAAACACCTGAACCTTCTCCAGCCCCCAGCTGAGAGGGGTGGAGGGAAAGCTTTCTCTCTGAAAGGCCTGGAAGCAGAGGCCAGCCCCTTTCTGCCTTTGCCTTAGGTTAGTCCACCAGCTGTTCACAGGCCAGCCGGGAAGCCAGAGTTCCCTGGAATGGGCTCCAGGTGGGTGAATTGGTGTTTTTCTCCATAACACGGGAAAATTAACATGTTTTGGACAAAATATTTACAACTCCAATGTCCAGTGAAAGAGGGAGATGGGCTTTATTGAGGAAAGAACACCTCGTGTTCACATTGCCTCTAAGCAGAGCCCTTTCCTTCACGCCCGCCTGCTGGCTGTGTGGAGGCCCCTGGCCCCTGCATGAACTAGCTCTACAAGTGGGTGGAGCATTGTTCCCCACTGACTATCATTTTAAACTCACTGCAAAACAACACTGGCAATTACAGGTACATATAGAGAAAAAGAAAAAGTTACCCCTAATTCCACCACTGCTAATATTTAGGTGTATAACTTTATGGATGTTCTCTACAAACACCATACACACTTAAAAAAACAACCTCAACCTGAGATCAGAGTTTAAACTTTGTGTCGTAACCTGCTTCCATACTAAACACGATCTCCATTATCACTTTAAGGCTGTATCATATTCCATGTCTAGATACATCAGTGTTTAACTGTTCCCTAATGATGGACATTAAGATGACTTCCAAGTTTTCATCATTATAAATAACTAGAGGCCGGGTGCATGAATTCGTTCTGGGTGGGGTCTGGCTGGCCCAACCCAATCAGGCTGATTGGGCTGAGCTGGCTGGGGAGCAGGGCCATGGGCCGTTGGCTGGCCAGCCCACCCCTTATCTGGATGGAGGGTGGGGCTAATTGGGGGGAGGGGCCAAAGGCAGTTGGCTGGCCGGCCCCGCCCCATGGTTGAACTCCCAGTTGAACTCCTGATTGAACTCCTGATCAAGGGAACAATTTGCATATTAGCCTTTTGTAATATAGGATTGTATGATAGACATTCTTGTACCTCTCCCTGGTTCCTCAGAAAAAAAGCCCTAGAAGTAGAAATTCTGGGTCAAAGGGAATAGTGGTCTAAATCGGAAAGTCATAATGGGTAGCAATAGAGGGAGTGCAGATGAGGAAACGGAAGCACAGCGGCTTGCCCAGGCTTTGACTATTGACTGCCAGGGCCAGATTGAGAACTCAGATTTTCTGAGAACAAATCACCATTTCTTTTCAGCATCTCTCATTGCATTTGAGACACCTCGATGCTGCAGCCTGGGCCCGGTAACAGGTTTATAGGCTCAGATTCTGTGGGGGCGGGAGGTGGCGCTTGCAATTACTGGCTCATGTGCTATCTTTGTGGTGTGAATTGAGGAGTAATCTCTACTCAGGTGTCTGAAGCACATTGCAGGCTGGGTAGTGTTTCCCAACTTCCTGGATCTAAAGATCCCATGGGGCTCCCATTGACATACAGCCTCCTGGGTCCCACTCGGAAGCGATTGGAGCAGGCTCTCCAGGGGCAGGGCGGGGGTAACCTGTTTGACAAATACACAGGTGAGGCTTATGGTCAGGAAGATGAGGAAATACCTGGAGAGAGGGAGGCAAGAAAATAAGTGGCTGCCAGTGGTTAACCTCTTAATGGGAATTAACTGGTTATGTCGCAGTGGAATTGGGGAGAGGGAGGAAAATCCAGGCTAAGCAGGTGTAGGGATAGAGATAATAAACAGATACGGATTCCAGCAGTGGCATGGTATTAATAGTCACTCCTCCTAAGCACATTTTCCCAAAGATGGTACCTTTTCTGCAAATGTGAAGGTAATTTGTTACCACCATCGTGAAGGCTATGATGAGAACATAGAGGTAGGAAAGTGGAGTGAGACTCAAGGTCTGTTAAGAAGGTGGTTGGAGAGGTAGCAGGTCAACACTGGCTCTTCCTCCCAGGCCCTACCCTAAGGCTCACTGCAAGACTGTGTGCTCTGGAGTGTGGGGCTTGCCTTGGAAAGGGCACTCGGGCCAGAGCCCAAGGCCAAAGGGGCCTTGGGAGACTAAGGGGGAGCACGACGTCCCCGACAGGAGGCGTGGAGAGAAGAGGACCACCGAGGGAGCTGCTGAAGGTGGTGAGTGTGTGAGGTTAATTCCCTTTGCCTCGCCTGGCCCAGCCCCGGCTGTGATCGGGACAGTCCTGACCTATAAGAAGCAGTCCTGCAGAAGTGCCCAGGCCACACGCAGCTGGGCCGCCAGCTTTGGGGGTGAGGAAGATGCAGCTGTTCCGTGATGAACCACTGTCTCAGATCACTAGCTGGGAAACTGAAATCCTTACAGAGATGATTATATCCTCACTGCTTTACTAGATAAACAGTGGGGTCGCTTTCAAATGTGAGCTCTCCACATTCTTTTCAAAGAGCCCTTTGAAGCTTGCCAATTTATGACTAAAGGTGCCCCCTCTCCTCTCTGGGGCTGCCCTGGCTTCGCCCGGGTCCCCAGGAGGCCACTCTCACCAGCTCACCACCAAGTATTTCCTGAGGGAGTTTAGGTTCTTACACATGAAACAATGCAGGTTGTGGCTTCACTGGGGCAGGCCCCCTCCTTATTTCTGAAATGCAGTTCTTATAAACAGCTTATAATTCTTAAACTCCAAGCCTATTGTTTTATTTTTCACAACAATTATAAACATACTAGAGGCCCAGTGCATGAATTAATGCACAGTGGGGTCCCTCAGCCTGGCCTGCAGGATCAGGCCAAAACCAGCTCTTCGACATCCCCCAAGGGGTCCCGGATTATGAGAGGGCACAGGCCAGGCCAAGGGACTCCACCGGTGCATGATCGGGGCTGGGGAGGGACACAGGAGGTTGGCCAGCCAGGGAGGGACCGTGGGAGGGCTCCAGGGCATGTCCAGCCTCGCTTGCTCAGTCCCCATCAGCCAGACCCCAGCAGCAAGCTAACCTACCAGTTGGAGCATCTGCCCCTGGTAGTCAGTGCATGTCATAGTGAGTGGTTGAGTGGCCTTAGCATATCATTAGCATATTACGCTTTGATTGGTTGAATGGATGACTGGATGACCAGACACTTAGCATATTAGGCTTTCATTATATAGGATTATGTGATGACAGCCTAATGGCATCATCAGGAGATGGTTAGATAAACTGGGGAATTCTCTTCAGGGGCTAAAGAAACGAGCCTGTGGCCCTAGCCGGTTTGGCTCAGCCTGTGGACTGAAATGTCCTGGGTTCAATTCTGGTCAAGGGCACATGCCCAGGTTGTGGACTTGATTCCCAAGTAGGGGGCATACAGGAGGCAGCCAATCAATGATTCTCTCTCATCATTGACGTTTCTAACTCTCCTTTTCCCTTCCTCTCTGAAATCAATAAAAATATATTTAAAAAAAAGAAAAAGAAGAGAGTTTGTGGATTCAGTTGGAACTCTGAATATGGATATTAAAAATGTCCACAATAAAATTGGAGTTTTAAAATTGTAATTAGTATGTTCCCATATTTTGCTTTAAAAAAGAGAAGAAAAAAACAACCACCTATGTGTGTGTCTATACATTTATGTGTCTGTATGGGAATAGAAAAGAGTATTTGCAATAAAAGTCTAGAAGGGTAGGCCAGAGAGCTGAGTGTGGTCCTGGGGAGAGCATGCAGGCCGGAAGGCAGTCCACCAAAGAGGCCAACTGGGCAGCTCACCACTGTGTCTGTTCTGATTTGTTTGTGCTCCTGCTTCACTGGTCATGTATATGAAACCAAATGTGGATGTTTTGAGTCCGAGTTTGTTGTCTCTCAAAGCAAAAGAACAAAGTTGTGGACAAACATGGTTAGTGGAACACAGTTTATTGAGAGCATCCATGCAAATTAAAGTCTGTTAGTCCACGTGTGGAGGTCCACATGGCCATAAGCCACGTGGGCACCAGGGAAGGTCAGGAATCCATTGCTGCAGGGGAGAAAAGAGAGAGAGAGAGAGTGGAAGGAAACATACCTTTAAATTTAGGGAGTGGATACAGCCTTGCTAGCTCCTGATTGGTCTTTTCAAAGAATTTTGTCTTAGCAACATCCTTAGGATTCGTTTATACGCCTTACTGCCTTGTGATTGGTTATCTGCACATTCTCTGTCTTAGTATTTAAAAGTTCATGCCTCTCACCTGTGTCCTTACCCGCCCCGGCCCCCGTCCCCCACCTGCCTAGTTGGGTTCTTGGGTTACTTTCCTTCCCGTGGCCCTGCCCCTATCTACCTAGCTTCCTTCTGTCTCCTCATATGTATACCATCCCTAGGAATAGGAATAGGGAGATGGAAGATTCCTGCTCTTTTTACTTTATTTACTTCTGTATTGATTGAATTGTCTTAGTGATAATTAAAATGATTTTTAAAGTGATAAGAGCAATAGCAGTCTATCTGATTTAACTATACGTGAGCTATAGACGTGTTCAAACTTCATGGTATAAAACAGTGGTACTCAACCTTTTGGCCCTTTAAATACAGTTCCTCATGTTGTGACCCAACCATAAAATTATTTTTGTTGCTACTTCATAACTGTAATGTTGCTACTGTTATGAATCGTAATGTAAATATCTGATATGCAGGATGGTCTTAGGCGACCCCTGTGAAAGGGTCATTCGACCGCCAAAGGGGTCGAGATCCACAGATTGAGAACCGCTGGTATAAAGTAGAACACGAAAGTGAATGGCTTTCGTCCATGAGGCTTCCAGAGTCCAGCTCCCCATTGTGAGATGAAGTTAAGCCTCAGAGGTTTAGTAACTGCCCGAAGTCACAGAGCTCCGTGAGCAATCAGGACTGATGCGGACTCCCAGCCCGTCCAATTGTTATTTCCCATGCGTGTGCACACCAGGGGGCACTTACACACTTTGTGCTGCTCTTGCAGTTCACTTAGCTTTAAAAGCACAAGATGGCAGTTACTAGAGTCAGCAGCATATGATAAATAAATATAGAAACTTCTACCACTATGATAATCAGCTTAAAATAGCTTTCAAATGTCAAATATAAATTTAACTTGGAAAAATAAGAGTATGTCAATGAGAATGTTCTTGAATATCTTATGTTAGTTCCTCTAACAATGTAACTATACTATGTTAATGTTATTTTCCCCTTTGGGCCTTCAGACAGATCCAAACTGATAAACCTCCTAATGGTGAAGGGTTCAGAAAGAATTAGGATAGAGGAATAAAAGGCTTCATTGACCTGGGGATACAAAGACAGGGCTGCTTAGATAAACAGATGACAGGGCTCAGAAGTTCTCAATGAAGACTCATTTACATAAAGTATCAACACATTACCCCACAGCTAACAGCTAGGGCAATGGTCAAGACAGAAATGGAGAAAAGGTTCCTTGGCAATGCAGCAGATTCCTTATAGTTAATAAAATATAAAATATGTTAAATGTTAAAGTTCTGAAGGATGTGGGGGACTGATTGTAAAGGTCCCAATGCCTGCCCCGCCCCCCTCCCCCCCCCCCCCCCCCCCAATTTTTTTTAATTTGTTTTTTGGACCCCCTTTCCGGGGGGCCCCCCTTTTCCGAGGGCCCTTGGGGTAAAAAAGGACAGTTATTTGGGGTTTGCCTTATGGTGTGTTTTTGGCAAAAGAAAAAAGGTGGGGGGGGCGCCGCGCCCCCCCCCCGTAAAGGTTGCCGCTT